TTCAGAAGAAAAAACATGAAAACATGGAAATATTTTCTGCACTTAATTATACTTAAAACTTACTTTACTGCTTTAACAACGTAAGAATCATGAATTTCTAACTAAGCATATCAAATTGTACTATTTGGCAAATTTATGAAATTTACAGAGCAACCCAACAGATCCACTACTTTCTGGAGTGCGCTCCCAAGTAAGCGTTGAGGGCGATCACCTCAAAACTGAAAACGCCTTTAAGTGCAATCCTATGCATATTTAGACAGGGGGAAAAGTCTACGACTCCCAAGCATGCAAGAAGCTGGAGTCCTTTTTCTCTCTAAACGTGCATTGGATTGAGCCTTTAGCTTTGTAGCGGGTGTCTGTGTCAGGTAAGAAGGGCAATGGATGCAGAATACTTGCGTGTAATGACTGTCTCCAAGCTAGATCAAAAGCTTGCAGATGGCAATCAACAATCCACAAGCCATGGAAGGCTTTGATGCTTTTCTCATAAAGATGGCAGCACCTTCATAGCAAAAATACACCTATGACATCAATGTTTTATGTTTGAAGTATACACAGGAATTACCATTCTCTAGTACTGTTGATTGTCTTACATTAAAAAAAATCAAATTACACATTTTGAGCAAAACCTCCTCTTAAACGCATTTCACTTATTCCAAAAGGGAAAAAAAAATACAGGATGGGTTCTTTTTCATTGATCCTCAACATTTCCAATATTTCAGTTGGACAAATCAGAAATAAAAGTCGCGGGGAAGAGGAGATAACACCCCACTCTGGAGATTTCTCTGGTCTTCTAGGCGATCTTATCTCTATTCATCTACTGGCCTTTTGCATCCTTTTCCTTGAATTACACTCCTAACATTGGGAATGAGACCACCTAGTGTTTCCTCAAAAATATTTTAGCAGTTATGCTACTGTACATGTATGAAACAGACACACTATATGTGCATGCAAAATACCTAACAAAATGACCAATCAAGCACAGGATGTCCTTTTTCTTTAGACCAGAAATAGGAAACATGTGGCCCTCCATGTTCCATGTTGTTGGATCATGAATTCCATCACCCCCTACCATTAGTTATGCTGAATGGGGCTGATGGGAGCTACAGTCCAATGTTGGGAGGGCCATAGGCTCCCCATCCCTACTTGCATGAAACCAGCAATATTCCTCCCCTCTCAGTCCTTCTGCAATCAGACAATTGAGGTCAGCATGAAGGAAAACTCACCAGTTCTCCACTCTCTGAGCCTTGAATGTCTGCGTACAGAATTGCAGGATCACAATCAGGGCCCAGACAGGCTGCTTCTCTGTTCAGAGAGCCTTTTGTGCCATCACCATCTTCCACTCTCCAAGACTATGTCAGAACTGTGGCCCCTTTTTGCTTCTGAAGGGCAAGTGTGGCCCTCTTATGCTCTGCACATTTTCAGATAAGCTTACCAACAGCAGTGCAGTATTCCTCTTCTGCACTCTCTGAACTGCCAATGCTTTTGCAGAAACTACTCTTTTTCACTTTGGTGGGCTAGCGCTGACTTGACATGGAATACCTTCCTGCTGAAGTCAGCTACTGCCGTTTCAGAGGGTTCACATGCTCACCTCTAACTTTTTTGCTAGGGGAGGGGGCTCTCTGGCTGGTTTCAGGGAGAGGGGTTTAGCAGAAAAGCAGTTCAGACTGAAGCCTTGATGTTCAGACTGAAGGCCTGACCACATCTTCCTAAAAAATACCTTCTTTCCACTGTCTGGAAGCTCCTTGATAGAGAGCAAGAGACATTGCTACAGCAGCCTAGGGTAGAGCAGGTAAGAAAAATCAGCACTCTCTAATAGAAATGAAGTCTTATGATGGATGTTGGAGGGAGCAGACCAGAAACTCTGCCTCCTGCTCCAAGGCATACATACCGGACGTTTGCCCCTCCTTCTAATCATGAGGATTCAACTTCAGCCTTATGGGAAGGAACACCAAACAGCCACCAAAGGGAAGAATGGTCATCAGCCCAAATCTCACACACAAAGGTGGTACCAACTTTACAAGGGTTTTCCCTACCCACAAAGGCAAAACCTGACCTGGGAGGCAGCCTTTTCCAGTTTAAAGCCTCCAGATGTGTTGGGACTGAAACTAGCTGGGAATGATGGGAGTTGTGGTCCTAACACATCTGGGCATCAGGCTAGTGAAGCTGACCCCATGGCAATTAAAAGGCTGCAGTGGCCATTTAGTATAAGAATCAAAATCCCAAATAGGGTTCCAACATTTGCTGGGTCTTGGGAATGCTATACAAAAAAAGCCAACTATCACAAGTCTTTACTACACAGAATACTGTACAAATGGGAGTCAGGATTCACAGCTTCAGTTTTTCTACACCATTCTAGCAATTCTATGAACAAAAGCTTAGGGCTGTTTAAAATTCATAGGAAGCAGAAGGATTCTTATTGCCATGCTCTCATTGCTGGCAAAAAACAGTGTACACACATGTAGAGAAAGACAGTATGTTGAGGTTATACAAAAGCATGAAAGCAGCTGCATTCTTGACCCATTGTTCTTGGTGGCACTTTCAACTGCTCTCTGAATTTTGTTGTGCTACACCAAGATGGACCTCTGATATATAAGAACCAGTTCCTCCATTCTGTAACTAGAAAGCGTTCAGAAAAAACACAGAGAGAAGAATGGCTGGCTGTATCTTCCAGGCTGCTCCCACTTAGGCTTAACAAAAAATAAAGGGAAAAGAAAAAAGAAAACAATAAACCTGTTGTTTAGCAAACTGGCAAAATTGTTATACTTTTCCTCTTACTGTACCAACGGAGGGGAGGGTTAGTTCTGCAACTTGCAGTTAGTCCTTGGCAAACATTTTTCCCACCTAACAAGTTTCCATTTCTTTTGTTCTTTCTTTTGAAATTCAAACCTTCCATGAAATCTTAGTTCTACTGTTGTAGTCTTTCTGTGTAGTTTCATTTCTCTGAGTTCAAAGACGCGAAATGAAAAACAATACTGACAACATATTAAAGTGTGCCCACAGCTGCTGCCAAGGCCAAATGCCATGCTGTGGCATCTGCACTGCATGGGGCCTTGATCTAAGAACACGATCGCGCCCTCATGTGGTCGGTGCCTCTGAAGGATCAAGAATGGCCACAGCCTTAAACAGCCACAAAACTGGAAGCAAATCAGATTAGTTAGAGCCACAAGCAATGAGCTGCTGGGATAAATCGTTTGGAGGGAGCAAGAGACAGTACTTCCATGGGGCACAGGTCTGAGTGTTTCAGGGACTCCAGCTAAGTTTCTGTGCACTGTCGCTGCTTCTGGCATGCTTCACACAGCAGGATCTCCAAATTACAGCTCTGACAGTTTATAGTAAAGAGTCTCCCACTGTCCTCATAAATTTCTCTTGCAGAAGAAAATGTGCTGTTCTGTGTTGCAGCCAGTGACTAACTCCCTCCACCTTATTCAAAAATATGTAAGAGGCCTAACTTTAGATTCCTAAAAATAATAAAAACACTAACTTTAGGTCTAACTTTTTTTTTTTCTAGACCACACTGGCATTATGCTGGGAAGCATGTAAATATAGGATACTAGTTTTGTGAAAGGAAAGAAGTTGGGATTCATTGAAGAGGTAAAGTGTTTGGGAGACACAAAACTGCATACAGGTAGCTTATGTGTACCCCAGGGCCTAGACTGCCTTCCAGTTGCCCACCTGCAAATAGGTTGATATGTCACACAGCTGTTGAGAATAAGAGATCATTTAGATTAAGAGCAGTAAACCTGGTGCCTGCCAGATGTTGGGGTCTGCAACACCCACAATCCTCAGCCAGCATAGCCAGTGGTTGGGGATTGTGAGAGCTGCAATCTAAAACCTTTGGTAAAGTTGTAGGCTGACTATCCCTACCTCTGCTGATAGCAAACTCCGGTGCCGAGTTATAACAGCCGCAGAGCTGAATTGGGACTACTGAGAAATAAGAGGAAGATGCCATTATGCTTGGGGAATCCCAAGATTTTCCAAAGCAGAAACATTACTCAGGAATAAAAAGCTAAGGGGGACAACCCCTCTATGCCCTAAAAAGCCCAATGACCACAGCACATACTCAGTGGCTTTGGGATGCCAAGTGCCTAATGAGAAAGATGCAAAAAACCAGGGCAGAACAGTCTCTCAGAAGAGGGCATGGCTGGCTGGAACAGTGGAGTACTTCTCTCTCTCCAGCTTTTTGTTGGCGGCCACACTTGTAGCAGGGTGACTGTAAAGCAAGCCACAGATACTGGATGGGCTAGAGGACAAGTTACAGGAGTCAGTTTCAGAAACAAGAAGGCAGCCTTTTCCTGTGATGGGATACTGAAGTGTTCACAAGGCAGGCGCAGTGCTCCTATGTTCTTTCACTATTCTTCCTGGGCCCTACAGGAAGATGTCAAATACTATATAACCAAGATTCACTTGGCCAAAGGAACTCAGAACTGAAAGTGGAGGGAAGAGTTATCTGAAATTCATTCCTAGTGAATCAGCCCAGACAGATCCTTTTGCTTCTGCAGTCTGGCAAATTTACAACATGGTCCCCACTAATAATGGAGGTGAAAGAAGCGGACTTCAAACACCTCTCACAGAGTCTTCCATGCATTTCCCCATGAGTTATTTATTTTTGATAAGCGTGCCATTTTTCTGGATACCAAAGCCAGAATTTAAAAGCTGCCCGCATCTGAGATACTGAAGAAACACATGAAAGCAGATGGTGTCAGGCAAATTTGATACCTCTCTTCCCATTTGGAAAAAAAGAAATAGTTGCAGTTCCAGCATCTAAAATGGTCTTCACTAGACCTGCAGAGCTGAACTGAGTGGCAGAATTTCACATTATTTCATTTTCTCTTCAGGCCATGTATAAACACTGCTGAGTATGTCACATTCGATTAAGAATGGAGGAAAGAAGTGAAAAAAATAGCCATCCTTCTAAAGATGTAACTGTGTCCAAGCACTCTGTACTGGCCAATGCTGATCCCAGTCTGGAAGGACAGAGGAGCAGTCCTAGCCAGTTAAACCTTATGGGTTCTCTGGTGTCTTACGAGGTGGGAGGCAGCCCCAAACCCCTTTCCACAACTGGCACATTTGAAGGGCTTCTCGCCTGAATGTGTGGCACGGTGGCGCTCCAGGTGGGCGTTACGAGTGAAGCCCTTCCCACAGTCACGGCAGGAGAAGGGCTTGTCTCCACTGTGGATGCCCTGGTGGCGCTGCAGGTGTGCGCTGCGGGTGAAGCGCTTGCCACAGTGCGTGCACCGGAATGGCCGCTCCCCGGTGTGCGTGCCCTGGTGGCGGGTGACGTGGGCGCTGCGGGTGAAGGCTTTGCCACACACCCCACACTCATAGGGGCGCTCGCCGGTGTGCGTGCTGTGATGCCGGGTCAGGTGCGAGTTGCGCCCAAAGGCCTTCCCACAGTAGGTGCACTTGTAGGGCCGCTCCCCCGAGTGGGTCTCCTGGTGCCGTGCCAGGTGAGCACTGCGGGCAAACGTCTTCCCGCAGTAGTTGCAGCTGTACGGGCGGTCTTCCTCTGGGACCTGCTGCCCGAGGCGCTTCCCCCCCAAGGGGCGCTGGAGTCCTGAGTGGGTTGCAAGGTGTCGGGTGAGATGAGAGTTGCGTCGGAAGCCCTTCCCACAGTAGGGGCATGTGTGGGACTTCTCCCCCATGGCTGCTGGTCTTCAGAAGGTTCTTGTGCAAAACGTATGCACCCGCTTTGACAAACCCTGGCCTGGTTTGCAGTGGTTAAGGAGGTTTCTCCCTCACTCTGCCTCCAGTACACAGAGCGCGACCGATCTCAAGGTTTCCCCCACAGGCTGAACCTGTGACCACTGGTCCTGAGTTAACTACTTGGATTTTGTGGTTCTTTTGTTTCCTTCTTAGCCTTGTCTCAGCAACTTCTCTGAAGGCACAGGACTGGCAGTGCTTTCTTTGCTTTCATCACCTACAGACCAAAAATGGAAGGAAGGGAGGAAGGAAAAAGGAAGAACAGGCAATGAATTGCTGTCAAAGCTGAACTTTGAGGTGAAAAGGAAATAATGAGTAGTATCCAATGTTGGCAGTCTTAAGGCTCAAAAGGCATTGTACTAGCAGAAATAAACCCTATTGCAACCGGGGCTAGTGCAACCCCAAAAACTAGCCCCTATTAGTGCTTCTGGAATGGGACAAGGTTCCAGCAGAGGCCCCTTCTGTGGGTTCCATTGCCACGTCCTCTCCCAGAAGCACAACTAGTTTCCAGTTATGCTGCTGTTCCTTAATATGCTTACATTTGCTTTTGCTAGTGAAGCAGCAGCATTGATCAATAATGTGGCTCAATTAAGTTGAAGAATACATTCTCTTGATGTCTTCCCTTCACCCTATCACATGCACAACCCAGCATACAAACACCAAGTTGTAATACTGTTTCAGGTATTTGTTAAAAGAATCATGGACAGTCAATCAATCAATCAATCAATCAATCAAATTTTATCACAGCTATTACCAAGTTCTAACATGCTAGCATTCTTCTACTGCATATTGTATCTTTAGAATCTAATTTTCTCTGACTGAACTTTAGTAATGACCAACTTGTCCTCCTGATTTCAACAAATATACTCAAAGCTCAGCCTGGATCAAAGTTGGTCAGTTTTTGGTTTGCTTATTTTGTTAAAGAATTCATAATTTATTATACATATTCTTCACTGTTCTGCCAAGATTGGCTCCTAAATCAACATACTTTAACATTTACACAACACTATGATATAATCAGGGATGTTGGAAGGGGAAGTTCAGTCTTTTTTGCCTTTCAGCTGCAATACAGCTTGCAATCCTATGTTACTTCCTGAGGGAAAGTCCTGTTGAATGCAGTGAGCTTTACCTCTGGGTAAATATGTAGACAGGATTGTACAGATAGTCTCTTTTCTCTGATGGGAAGTGGGCAGAAAGCGCTGCACATGGGCTCAAAGAATGGCTAATGAAGATGCAACCCACAAAAGCCGTCATTGCATTGGGCAATGTCTTCTGATACCAAAATTGCTTATTACGGTGGGCAGTATTTCATTTTTATTTAATAGTACTGCTAATGCAAATAACATTGCACTAGCATGAGCTACGTCTAGCAAAAGTCAGTAACATTTAGTGGTCTGCCAGGTTTCCCTAGAAAAACTGGGGAATCAACAAATAGTTCTGGCATTGTGCCAGAGGCTGTTCATGCTGTCACAACACTGCTAGTGGCAGTGTTGAATAGGATACTGCTCAATTCCTATATGGACTCTTTGTAAGAAAAAACCCCTTTCATGAAAGAATGGATATTGATTACATGACATGTTACTAGAATGATTCAATCAACATTTTAACATGTGCTAAGACAGGGGTCAGCAACCTGCAGCTCTGGAGCCACATGTGGCTCTTGAATCCCTCTGGGGCGGCTCCGTTGCCCAAAATCCCCAGCACAGCCGCCCATCTGTGACAGAGGCTCCCAGTTACAAAATACCAATAGGTGATGATGAGGCATCCACTCAGGAACTCTGCGCTAGTAGGTGAAGTAAATTGCGACATTGCAGGGAAAGAGTGGAAAAAGCTTCCTGCATGCTCTCATGTTACTCAAACCCTGCTGAAAAGATTCTCTTTGTCCCAGTGTAATCTCCTTCCTCTGAATGTTAAAAGCTGTGCTTGGGACCTGTCACAATTCACAGCACTTGACTGTTGCATCTGCTAATCAGACACTAAACATACCTGTATCTCTGGTGCTGATCTGCAGACCAGGGAAGATTTACTGAGCTCCCCCCCCACACCCCCCCGTAGGCCAACCATGGATAAATCGAAGAAAAGTTTCTGAAGAAAACCAAACGTTTAATGATACATGGGTAGATTCATTTGCTTTTACTGCTGCCGCACTTATGGGGTTTGCTGTTCAATGCATGCAGTCCTTTAGCACTGACTTTGACTCTGCAGGAAGCTGTTCTATTCAAAATATATGAAAGGAGTCCTACTAGTTTATAATGTAAGATTAAAAATAACAGGTTTTAGTGACTGAACAAGAGCTGCAGCTAAATCATAATGAAGATATACACAGCATTAAGGTAAAAAAACCATATATGCAGTGTTATCTTCATTTTAGATGTCAAAAGGGTTTTGCATCTCCTGGTGTTTTCTTTTGTGTGGGAAATGGGTCCAAATGGCTCTGAGTGTTAAAGGTTGCTGACCCCTGTGCTAAGAGAAGCAAAAAATTTGTGGCATCTTACAAATTTAGTCAGGTGTAAGCTTTCACAGACAATAGCTCACTTCATTAGAAACATGGACTAGGCTCTAGTAAATAAAACTTATGCCAAAATAAGTTTGCTAAGTCTCGAAGATGCTACAAGAACCTTTATTGATATTGTTACAGTAGACTAACATGGATATTATTCAGAAAAGGTAAGCAATTGACAGTACACCTTTGTAAAACATTTTCATGTTATTTTGGAGCAGAACTATAAAGCAAATGTAACAACTTTTTCTTTTTTATTGTAATTTTTTCCTCTTGGAAATGTTGTAGGTTATATATATGCAGTTTTATTGTACTAACTCGGGACTTTTCCCCCTTTCTGCATGTGTGTGTGCGTGCACACATGAAGCAGGAAAGAGAGGGAGAACTAAATTGTCATGGAACTACAAAATTAAAGATCTGAGAATCTCAGTTGCTCTTTCAAGGATTGGTAACTTGACCACGTATCTAAAAGTCCCTTGATCAAGATTAGACACCTGCAGTTAAATATATACATGGTTTAAATCAATGTGTGAAATCATTTTTTGTTTTCTTAAGCTGTAATTTTCTAAGACTATAGAGAGAGGAGGATGCCTGAAATGTCTGTTGGACTGGTTCCCTATCAAACTCTTGTATTGTACCTGTGAATGTACATCCCAGGATTTTGGAAATATAAGTTTTAAGCCTTAGCAGAGAATGGGTGTGTCTGATATCCCTTATTTAAGGGGTATCCAGTGCATCAGATCACTATCACTATAGCATATTCTTTCCATAGAGCTGCAAACCCAAGCTTTTTGAGTTGATAAGAATATTTGTAATTTTTAGTGTCCCAGACACTCCAAAATGTTTGCCATGAGAGTTACTATTATTAAGCTAGTAAGGATAAAGAGAACTAGTACTAAGAAAATTGTAAGACTAAGATAAAAGTAATTTGCCAAACAATTTACATATAAGGCAGAGATGGAAACTAAGCTCCAAAATACAAAACTAGTCTTTTGAACTCAGATATATGTTGTTCCAAGGCAGCTCTTTGTAGCATGCCAGCCTCCCAGTAAAAAAAGAATATTTTTTTAAAATGATGAATTATGAATTTAAAAAAATATTTAAAGATAAAATAAAAATCAGGAGAGGCAGGGAGACTTGCGTGTGCCATGAGAGATGTCCATGGGCACACTGGTTCCCAGGGTTGCCATGTTGGAAACACCAGGAACATAGGTACATGTAGGGACATTATGTTTATTCCTTGAACAGTGCAGAGGAAAATTAACAGGGAAGGTGCTTTGAATCAGTTATGCGTGTTTACTCAAACTATTCTCTTCTGAACTGAATGAGACTTACCTCATAATCCTAAATTGACCAGGAATGATAAGAGGGTTGGACCCAGTGGTCCTCTTGGCCCCTTCCAACTCTAGCATTCTATGATTCTAAAAGGACTGAATATTCCTCAAGCTCTTTTCTCTTTTCCTCAGATCCCTGGTCTGCCATAGCATCCCTCTCTCTCAGAGTAAAATCCCTCTTCTTACAAAATTTTGAAAGACATCTTTTTCAGCCAAGCCTTTCTGAACCACAACAGCCTCTTTTTACCAGCACCTGCACCAGCTCCTTCTTCTGCTCCAGTCATCAAGCATTTGTTAATTTCTTCCTCTCTCGCCCATCAAATATAGGCCACATTCTTTCTGGGCTGAATTATGTCACCCTGTTCTTTACAGTGCCTAGCAACTGCTAGAGCTTAAAATCCTTTAACTATTTCTGTAGTATCATCACTGTGGTGACCACAGGTAACCCCTGGCTTCTCTATTTTAACAGATGAAATGATGAACAGGACCTTTGCCTGAGAAACTGAAGCACTGCTGCCATCCAGAATAGGTAACACTAAACTAGATGAAGCAGCAGTCTGGCCTGTTGCACAAGCATCCACCCTTGCCACAACGAATCCTCAGTTTAAGTTATACATGGTGTGCATGTGTTTGTGTGCATGTTAAGTATATGTGTTATCCAATAAATGAGGAATATTCAAAGCAATGCGATACTGAATCGGGCCATTTAGACCAGCCTTGTCCAAACTGACAGGCAGTGGCTCTCCAGGAATCCAGGTGATGAACTTGGATCCTCTGCCACGGAGCTCCTTCTCGAGTGCATCCAAGCTTAGCCTAACTTAAGTCTCCTCCATTTCAGTGGCTCTGTTCTAATGGATCTACTGCGAACATTGGATACAACCCACTATTGGTTTTAAGAGAAGCAATCACGCATTCCTGTAACCTCTCACAAATACAACATTAGACAGTCTGATCCATGCAGCCTTTGCGCATTTACACGTTCTAAATCACAGCTGCAGTCGTAAGACGAAATGGAGTAAAGGACAATAAAGTCGTATTCAAAATCCCGCCCAAGGCTGGGCCCTATTCTGCGGCAGAAAGGGAAGGTACGAAGGGGAAGGAAGAAAAACAGACAAAGGGGAGGACAGAAGAGAGGGAAAAGCTCCCAGTTTTAAACTGATCTGGGGTAGGGAGCAAAAAGGCGACGGCGGGGTGGGTAGGATTGTCCTTCATTGGCATCTGCTCCTAAATGGGTGTTTTCATGCAAACTCCCTGCCCTTCCCTGCCCCATATATTGGATTCCACCCTACATCCGTCTTGGGTGCTCTCACCGATGCAGCCCCGACGCAAGGATCCAAAGGGGGTCGCGCGCCTGTGGCAGGCGCACTCCAACCTCGGGCCTGAGAGGGAAAAGCCACCCTTTCCGTGCGTGTGTGTGGGCAGTGGCGGGTTCATGCACAGGAAAGGACCCCGTCGTGCATCCTGTCCCCCGCCTCCACTTCGGCACGACTGCTCCAGCCCGATGGTTTTAACCCTCTTCCTGCCAACATTTCACGGGAACGAAAGGGAAGGAAAGCCGCCTAAGCAGCGCGCGCGCGCGTAAGAAAGAGAAGGCGCCTAGGCTCCCACCGGCGTTTGCACGGACGCGGGATGCGACGCTGCTGCTGCTAATGTGCTTTTAATCATGCTCCAGATTTGTAGCTCGGTCTTTTGGCGACTCTTTCAGTGAAATCATACGTTTTTCAGAAGTAAGTCTCTCACTGTTCAACAGGGCTCAGACCCAGGTAAGCGTGTAAAGGACTGCAGACTTAGGGACATTAACAAAAGCTGCCCCGGATCACACCTGTAGTCAGTCATATCCAGCACCCTATTTCACAATGGCCAGTTAGATGCTAAAGAAATCCCACAAGCAGGGAATAAGGGCAATAGGCCTCTTTCATTCTAAAACTGGTATCTCATGGCACACTGCACGGGTAGGCAGAAAGTACCATGTCCAGACATTTTGGAGTTCAGTTCCCAGAAGCACCTGTCATCAAGGCTAATGACCAGGAATGCTGGGAGCTGAACTCCAAAATGACTTAAGATCTACTTAGGGCCCCCTGTGTTTGAACATGGATGTTCCATTTAGCAGCCGCTGATAGTCCTATCCTCCCCCAAATGTATCTATTTTCTTTTAAAGCCATCTAAGCTACTGGGCATCCATCTTGTCTGTCTGGAACCTCTTATCAATCATTGAATGACACTAAGTTATGTTACAATGCAAGAGGGGAAAAAAAAACCCTTTCTCCATCCTATCTTAATTTTTAAATACATTTCTATCATTTATTTATGTATTTATTACATTTCTAAAATGCCCAGTAGCAGAAGCTCTCTGGGGATTCAAAACAATAAACAAACAAACATTTAGCCTAAGGTGCAATATAAAAGTTTGAAAGCTTTCCTGTTTTGCTTTTAAAATGAAATGTAAAGCCCCCAATATTGTAGCCTTTCCTTAAAGCAAAGTGCTCCAGTCGACTGATTACTCCATGTACCTACAATATAACATCTCATATGAGGTGCAAAAGATTTAACTATCAGAGGGTAGACCCATAACCATGGGACGGGGAGATAAGAGGGGTTGGGTGGTGCTTCCCTTTCCTAACAGGTTCTAAGTTCTGTATTTACTTTATATGCTGATTAGTGATCTCTGATTAATGGTGGCCTTATGAATGAATACTCTCCAAAAGGTCCAGTCACTGACTGCCCTGTTCAGCTTTTAGAAACTCAGGGCTATGGTTTCCTTTATGCCGGCTTTCCCCAACCTTATGCCTTCTAGGCATGTTTGGACTACAACACCCCGAATTCCCAGTAAATGGCCCTGCTGGATGGAAATTCTGGGAGTTACAGTCCAAATGCTTCTGAAGGCCACCAGGTTGGGGAAGGCCGTTTTATGCAATCAATGAATTTCATATTTGGTTTTTCTCTTCTTCTGCCTTCAGCTTTCCCTAGCATTATTGTCTTTTCCTTTTGCTTTCTATAATGTGCTCAACGTATAACAGCCTCAGTTTTGTCCTTTTTGTTCCCAGGGAAAGTTCTCACTTGATTTGAGCTTGGACCCACTTGTTTGTCTTTCACTCAATCCAGAATGTTGGCAAAAGTCTCCTACAGCACCACCCTTTGAAAGCACAATTTCCCTCTTCACTTCAAATCTTCACTATTATAACCATGCATAGTGATTGGGAATACAATAGTGTGGATGATCTTGGCCTTAAATCTCCAATGAAGCACCCCTACACTTGATGTTCTTTGCCAGTTTCTTTATTTTGCTGCTTTTCCAAGTCATGGACTTCTTCTGATTTCTTGGCTGCACTCTATCTTTGATTGAGGCAAGGTATTCAATTTTTTTTTAACAATTTCAGTTTCTTCATTGTTGACCTTAATGGTGTAATTTTTCTGTAATCATGATTTTAGTTAATATTCAGCTGCAGTCCTGCTTTTGCACTTTCTTCAGGAGTGATTTCAATTCATTTCTGTTTTTTGTTGGTAATATGTATCATATGCATATTTTAAATTATTGATGAAACTGCTCCCAATTTTCACTCCTCCCTCTGATCCGAATCCAGGGCTTTCCTTATCTGTTCTGTGTACAGGTTGAACAAACTTTTTGCATTATAGCCTCTAACAGCCTGTGTTGCCTCTTGCCTTTGTATCACAGCTATTCCATTACTTGAGTTTGTCATTTCCAGAGTAGCACATATTTTTCTGATGGAAAATGCCCATTCTATTCCACTTCAGTTTGCTCACATCAAGTACTGAAAAGTTTAATTATGCCATGTCTTGCTTTCCAGCTTTCACTTTGTCTTGATTGATGCTTGCTCACATTCCATGTTCCAACTGGATATGCTGTGCAGCATCAGACATTCCTTTCTACTCTGTCCATGTCAGTCACTAGACTTCCTTTTGGTTTTGCTCTAGTAGCGCCATTAGCAACAGCACTATCCATATTTGTACTTTCCTCATTGCTAATGATTGATTGGGTGCTTTCTGACCTGGGAGTCTCATCTTCTGGCACTATCTCTTCTTTCATTTTGGATTACTCATTATACAGTTTTCAAGGTCAGAAATATTCACAAGTGGTTTACCATTGCCTTCTTTTACATAGTGCTACTTGAGCATCACTTGTATTCAGGAAAATTCTCTGCAAGTGCCAACCTTCAGCTACCACTGCTGCCCAGGAGTTTCTCCACCCCCATCACCATTAGAGATATTGATTCAGTTCTGCTAATTTGACCATTAGTCCTTTAGAAGGTGGATGCATCTTTGCCTGGTGTCTCATCTTCTGCATTCTGCCTTGAGTGATGCTGCTAGGAGACCAGATTAGTGAGAGAGCCTGACCTCCTGGTGGCCTTGTTCTTGGCTTCTCTGATACTTTCAGTTTCCCTCATGATGTTAATGTAGGTTAGGGTTAGGAAGAGGTTTACTCTCAGAAAAAAATAGGAGAAGCAGGAGAATAACTTATAGAGTTCTGTGAAGCCAGCAATCTGTTTATTTTAAATACATTCAGGCATCTGGGTGGACAACTGTACAAATGGGCATCACTAGACAGTCAATCTAGAAATCAAATAGATTACATAACTGGAAATAAGATATGAAGAACCTGCATTTTTGCTGCTCAAACAAGACTGGGAACAGATTGTGGCAATTAACACCAAATATGTCGAGAACCAGTGTGCTGAAGTGGTTAAGAGTACAGGACTGGAACGTGGGCAATCCGGGTTTGAGTCCCTGCTTTGCCATGGAACCAACTGGGTGACTTTGGGTCAGTCACACATTCTCATCCCAACCTACCTCAGAGGATTGTTGTTGTGGGGATAAGGTAGGAGAAGGAGGGGAATTATATAAACTGCTTTGAGTACTTTGTAAGAAAAAAGATGGATATAAATCAAACAAACAAACATCAGAATCAAGCTGAGAAAGACTGCTAACAGAAACATAGTGCCAAGATACAACTTAAATAACATTCCTAAGGAATGTAAAGCCAATATAAAGAACAGATTTGTATTAGTGTACTCAATTGACTGTGAACAAGAAGAACAGTGGACTGAAGCCAGAAACATTGTTAGGGGAGAATGCAAACAAACAAACAAACAAACAAAAAACAATTCCTGTAGCAAAAAGAAAGAAAAGGCCTAGATGGATGAGGAGAGAAACTCTCACAATTGCTAAAAACAGGAAAGAAGTAAAAACAAAAGGTGACAGAAATAGGGTCAGAATCAACTATCACAAAGAGACAAAAAGTATTATTACAATAGGCAGTGTAAAGTTATAGAAGAGAGCAACAAGAAGATCCAAGAAATCAAAGGGTAATTCAAACTTAGATTAGAAATGCTGAAAGCCCAACAGGGGAAGATAATAGATAAAATAATCAAGATAAAGATAAAACGGAAGGCAGAAACTATACAGATGAGATAAAAGGATGATATACTTTGATTCCAAGAGGAATCCTATGAAGAAGAACCAGCAATGTTAGAAAGTGACCTGAAAGCTGCTCTGAAAGCACTTGGCAGTAATATAGCTCTAGTCTCCAGGAAAGGAGATCTAAAGAGTGCTGCAACTATAGGACCATTGCATTAACTTCCCATGCGAAGCAAAGTGATGCTCCCTCCAGATGTTGCCCTTGTGGAGTATGGAGTAATAAGAATATTACCCTTATGGAGTGAGAAATGCCTGATTCCAAAAGAAAGAGGCACTCAAGATTATATTACAAATATAGGTTGGCTACTGGAGCACACCTAAGAATTTTAGAAGACTGGTTTGTGCTGGATAGACTACAGCAAAGCCTTTGCATTTGTGGATCACGAGAAGCTATGGATGGTTCTGAAAGAAAGAGATGTGTGTCAACATTTGATTGTCTTGATGCTGTAACCTGTACCATTGACAAGAAGCAAATGTTAGGGCAATATCTGGAGAAACAGAATGGTTTCCTATAGATAAAGGCACCAGACAAGGCTGTATCTTATCTCTCTACCTATTCAATCTGTATGCAGAACATATATAGAAAGCTGCATTAGGAACACAGGAAGGAGTGAAAAGTGGCAGAAAATAACATCAATAATTTAAGATATACAGATAGTATCATATTACTGGAAGAAAGCAGCAGTGAATTGAAACAACTCTTGATGAGACTCAAAGAAAGCACAAAAGCAAGACTGAAGCTGAATATTAAGAAAACCAAAATTATTACTACAGAAGAATTGTACAACTTTAAGGTCAACAATGAAGATATTAAAATTGTGAAAGAAGTTACATGTGACTTGGAAGGACAGCAATGAAAAACTGGAAAAGATAATTACCTGTAAGAATGTTTCACTGGAGACGGTTAAGAAACAGTGAAGGCAGGTATGCTGGGAATGTACAATCTAAGGAACATTACAGTTTATGCAAATCTAAAGGAAATACATGCAGCATGTAGGCAGCTCAGCCTACAGAAATGGATTCTGTTTGAAGGAGGGTGGGGGCTCAGGTAGGCATATGAGAGTGTGGCATATGAGAGTGGAAACAATGTGGCTGAACGGATTAAGACCAGGGAGAACAAAAGGAAGAAGTGTCCGTTAGCATATCTAATGTGAGGAACAAGACTTGCAACATGGTTTCCTGATGAGATCAGGATACAACCTTAAGAAGTCTAAAGCTTTTCTTACAGTTTCAGGCTTTCTGCAGCCATTTATGGCAGAGCTTTCACTCTTTTGTCCTGACAAGACCAAGGCCAAGATCATCCATACTATGGTATTCCTGCTCTTTATGTATGGGTGTAGAGTGGAGAGTGAAAAAGCTGACAGGAAGAAAACTGATATGTACATTTATTTATTTAAAATTTATTTATTAAAAACTTTTCTACCCTGCCCACAACTAATGTCTCAGGACGACTTACAATAAGGAACAGGGTGCTTTAGTCGAGCTTTCTCAATACTATGGACTGAGAAAGCTGGACAAGTGAGTCCTAGAACAAATCAAGCTAGAACTTTCCCTGTAAGTAAAATGACAAAACTGAAGCTGTCATACTTTGGGTACATCATGAGAAGGCGAAACTCACTGGAAAAGACAATAATGCAAGGGAAAGTTGAAGGGAGAAGAAGAAGAGGAAGATTGACTATGAGATATATTGCATACAGGAAGCCACAACCTTGAATTTACAAGAGCTGAGCTGAGCTGTTAGTGACAGGACATTTTAGAGAGCAGTCATTCATATGGTTGCTGTAAACTGAAGAAGACTTGGTGCCATGTAACAACAACCAACAGCATCCAGAGGAGTAGCTATATTAGTCTGTTGTAGCACAAACAGAAAGTTTTGTGACACCTTGAACACTAATACATGTTGTATGGAAGAAGCAGCTTTGCTGGACCCCAGTCCATTTCATTAAATGCATACCAGCTGTATGAAATCTGAAAGGGAAGTATGTGCTCTTTTGTTCATTTTGGCTCTGATATTTTAGCAGGAAACTTATATATTTCACAGATAGTTAATAGTAGAGTACTCAGAGCAAGAGCACTGAGCCCCTATGGAGAATGAAATAGCACAACCTGATCAGTTGTTCCTAATTGCTGTGCTTCAGTATATTAACATCCAAATACTCCAGATGCCCCATAGGTGATCTGTGCTTAAGGAAACAAAGGAACCTATTATGTTTTGCCCAAAATTCAATGTGTTCCTCTTTTAAAAGCCATCTCCACTGCCAGCTGTGGAATTTTCCAATAGGCTTGTAAGGTGGAGTAATGTGGCAATGAAACAGGCTGGATTTAGATGATCACACCATTAAAAATAAGTGAAGGGGACTTGGGAAATGGAGCTACTTCAACATCAACAAAGTAGCTCCTTTTCCCAAGGGGTAGAAATCATCCACAGTGAGCATGGCCATTCCTCAAGGTTTCAATGGGATGAATATCTCAGGGAAAACAAGACTTGCTTTTGTTTGCAAAATACTTCAAGCATTCTTATCTATTTTCCATGCTATCCCAAACATGCCTTCTTGTATTTCCAGAGTCTGTTACCTGTTGCTTATTTGAAAAAAAAAAAAAAAAAAGTTTGTTGTGACGCTTTAAAGACTAAGAATTATATTGCAGCACACATTTTTGTATATTACAGCTCTACGCATTGGACAAATGAGAAGCAGGATAGTTTGAGCCTTAGTCTACTCAAATCCTTATACCACACTGGCTTTATTTTACTGACATTCCAGAAAGTTAGCCAGGTTTAAAGTTAAGATGTAGAAACAATGGCATTCTATGATGCCTCCTTGTTAAGAAATTTTGACACAGATGCTTCTGTCCTCTGCAGGTGTACCTCCAAAAGAACTGCTAAACTAAAACAGATACATTTTGCATGCCTTCAGAAAGATGTTCATGGCTTTTGGTAAATATGCTTGGGAAAAAAGATCTGTAACTGCAGAACTGGTGAAACTATCTCCATGCTTCTTTTTTGTCTGAACTGGCACATACATACTGATGTAAACTTAATTCACATAAACAATAGATGAGATGAAAAATTTCCTAGGAAAGCTATGCTAATACTAATTTTAAAACATTATCTCGTGGCACCAATAACTATCTCGTGGTACAAGCTTTCCAGCAATGCCGTTGGATCCCAGAGGTGGATTGTAGCTGTGAACTATACACTGTGCCACACTGTATTGATGCCAATTTTTTTTCAGGTAGCATTTGTGTTAGTTGCTCCAAACCTTCAGTATGAGGTGAGATAAGAAATAAATTGTAGCGGGATTCACACCTCACTGTTCTATGAAGCAGCTTTGCATTACTGTCCATGGGGCAGCTGTATCACTCCTTATCCTAGTGGATGAGCTCCGGACTCCACTGGCCTACGGGTACGGGTACGTGTACGCGCCTACTGGTGTTACTTCGGAGTATCCTGACCCGTGCAATTTATAACAGCCTCTGCTTCAGCCATTTAATGCCTAATGCCTTTCGGGCTCCAACATGGAGGATCACAAGAAAAGATCAGCTACGAGAAAAATGGACGAAAACGATTGGCTCATCTCATCCAGGTAGCCACGCAACGTGAGGCTCTTACTGGTTCTTTTCCCATCAATCCAAAGCCACACTCTACCTCCCCACGCTGAATACAGGGTTACCATGGTTTCAGTCTCAGATCTTTTGGAAGATTTCGGCCACCGAGACCTTCAGGCGGCAGAGGGCGGAACCTGGACGTTTGGGTTTTCGAACTTTGATTGATTCCCTTTCCGCACCCCCGCTCCGCTGCCCTGCGCTCCCCTCCCATCAAAGAAAATGGATTGGATGAATTAAGGCGCCTAGCGGTGCTTGATTGGACAGCCTTGTCTATTCCCCCCTCCCGTTTATTTATTTATTTATTTGAACGGCTCCTCCCCGAAGAGAATCCTAGACAAATGCCAGTTGGCTAATTTAAATGCCGGTCATGCTGCGAAATCGTCTTGGAAGATAACGAAAGAAGACGAAAGGAGGAGGCTTAGGCCCGCCTCCTACCCAACCGAAAGGCGCATGTTAGGTTCCAAATACTTCACTCCCCTTTTCTCCGCCTCTAAATTTCCCGTCATTCACTTGGCCGAGCGGGCGGAGCTTAAGGGGGAGGGGGCGGCGAAGCCCGAGCGAGCTGTGACCCAGTCGGGCCTCTCCGTATGCGTGCGTTCGTTGGCTGGCTGCGCGCGCTGCATCCCTTGTCTTTCCCGAGCCGATTCGCGGTGCGGGCGAAGAGGCGGCTGCAGGTCCCAGCAGGTGGCGAAGCGCCCCTTCGAGGCCGCCAACGGTTCTAACCCCACGAGGCCCCGTTCCTGCTCGCGCCTGCGCTCTAGCGACTGCTTAGCTTTCTGGTGGTGGCGGCGGCAGTAATGTCGGCCTCTGCGACGGCGACGGCCCCTGCTCCAGCGGAAGCGGGCGGCGGGGGAGGCGGCGCCGCTGGGGAAAAGCAGCGCTCCTCCTCCTCCGGTTCCCTCAATGTGGAAGGCATCGACCTGCTGGAGAAATGCGGGGTGTGTCGTGAGCGGCTGCGCTCTGAGCGGGACCCGCGCCTCCTGCCTTGCCTCCACACCGTCTGCAAGGAGTGCATCAAAGTCGAGCCCGCCTCGGGGGGCAACAACAAGGATGGTCAAGGTGAGGAAACAGGCGGGGGAGGACTTGAAGTAGGAGTTTGAAAAAAAGGGCCTTATTGCCCGAGGGTGTGAAACACGGAGACTTGCAGTACGCTTGGTGGGGTGGGGGGGCGGAATTCATTGTCTTTGTATTTCTCTAGTCCCTCCTCTGGCTTCGGCCAACTTCCATAGTACTCTTCGTAATGTGTCTGAATGGGAAGCAAGAACACTGTCCAGTGGTCTGTATAAAATGTAGTACACGAGGAGAACCTGGTGGGAGCAATCGCGCCGAGGAGGGGCTCGTGTAAATGGGAGTGCAGAAAAAATGGAGGAGGAGGGGGCGGGACCTGTGGAAAAACGGGGTGGGAGGTGACGGTCTTTTCTGTGGAGGAAATGGGGGTGACGGGAAGGCTCGCTTAGGTGGTGAGTGGAGCGGGGATCCACCCTGGCTTTTGCGGCAGCAGGCGCGGGAAGCGAGAGTAGGAGCGCAGCGGAGGGGCCGGAGGCGGCCGTGTGGAGGGGGAGGAGGAAGATGCCTGTATGGCGGCCGAGGTGCAGCGAGGGAGGCGTGGCCACAGGCCCACCGACGAGGGAGGCACTGCGAGGGTATCGAGTATCGCGAGATGTTAGCGGATCCTGCTGCTTGGGGTCGAGGGGAGGGAGGGAGGGGGCTACGGGCGCTTATCTTCTCTTGCCTACGTTCCCGCCGTATTGACCTGCAAGGGTACAGTCCGATCTATTCTGGGGAAGATCGCGCCGCAATTGAGCTCTTGATTCCTGAAAGGAAATGGGCCTTATTAGTCCCGTGTTTGTGTGTGTGTGTGTGTTGGGGGGGGGGAGAGACAGAGGGAACTAAAGGATCCAGAAAAGAACATGAGTCGTACACAGGTCTACAGCGGTTTTTAATGAAAAGGATAAGAGAAGTAAAAGTTGCATTCTGCTCGATGGGGAATGTGCCCAGCTGGTGGGATGGGACCAGTAAATGTATACAAGGTTGTAGTCCTTAGAAAAAAGCAAAGCATTAAGCTGCAGCCTTCTATTTATCACTAAGTTTATTGAATTTAGTGGGATTTATGCACGAGAAAACATGAATAGGATTGCAATAGAAAGACGTTAAACACCTCTTAGTGAGTCTGCTTTTATTTAAACGAGCAATAACACTGCTTCAGTGTTTGCACATGAGTGGTTTGTTTCTTAATATTGGACCAGTATGGTAGCATCTCTTGAATCTAATGCTTTCCAATTATCAGATGATAATTGGAAAGCACACATTTTCTAGAATTAAAATTCGCAAAGCCCCAATTTTTTTGAACAATGAAGTTAACGTTGTACATTAGGGAGGAAAGCCAAAAATGCCCTAACTCTTCTTGTGCTTGTTTGTCCTTATTCCAGATTCCCAGTTGTGTTGACAATCCCATGTCTGCCTTGAATCTCTTGAGGTTCTTTCCATTTTTCTTCATTCTTGTAGTAGAACCTTTCTCTCCTTCTTTGTGCTTACATCACTTTCAGCAGTAATGGTTTTAACTTAAATACATGACCTACACATGACATGCTTGTGCTAAGTATGGGAGCAAATTATCTGTTCTATTCACTATTACGCTTGAGATCAATGGGATTTAAGTTAGTTGTGGCTAATGTAACTCTTGGCCATTTCAACCTCAGGCATGTCTTACCTTCCCATTTTGCACATAAATACTGGATCAGAGTGTCTGAGATACCCATAATTAGAGTTTGTACTCAGATTCAAATTTGTATGAAAATTAGGCCATCAGTGATTTCCAAATATTCAACTAGTGCTTGAAGATAAAGGTCCACTGGTATCCTTAGGGGCAAAAGTACAAGAATTAAGTCTCTTTTTCTGCCCTCTGACTTAAAAGAAACATGGTTCATTCCTTCTGTGTCCTACTGAGTACATGCAAATTGACAATCCATCTCTAGCTCTGATTTATAATAATAGAGATAAACCTTGTAATGGAGATCTACTGATGTGCATCTACTTCTCAACTGTCTAAATGCTTATAGGAACTTCCCTGCAGGGTCAACCTAAATGGATTTTCCATGCCCTTTTGACAGTTAAAATAATAAAATTACAACTTGGGGTTGAGGAATTAATGAAGCTTTCAGTTTTTGATTGGGTAATCATTAGGCATAATCTGTGAATTGATAAATATCTGGACATTTGGACTGAAATCTATGCATAATTACCTCTAAGAACATTGGTATATGTTGTCTTATATCAATATATAGAGGTACATGTTGCATATATGTCCATTGTATTTATCAAAGTCATGTAAGAAAATTGTGATACTGTATTTTATCTTTATGGGTTTTTTCCTGTGAATTTTTTGATTTATTGAATTCACAGTGTACAATTAATGGAAAAAATGCTGTTTATCCTTCCCTCTTGGTGCATTTAAGACAAGGAGCTTAAAGATTTCCTCCTTTCAGGCACATCTTTGACTAGAATTGAAATAACTTAAGATGTCCAGAAAAGAGCATCACATTTCAATATATTAAAAGCTAGGCTTTTTAGTTCTTCCAGGCTTGCCTTTAACTTCCATTTTTGCCTTAACATAAATGAAATTAGAAGAAATATTAATATAGTTATGACTTATTACTGATGTACAGGTAAAAGCTTGGAGCTTTTTTTAGTGCACTGGCCTCTGTTGAGTGAAGATTGTGTAAGCAGAACAAACAGTTGCTATAGAATTGTTCCTCTGATTTAAAAAAAAATCTTCTGTAGTATAGAGTTGAACTTCCCCTTTTCTCCAGTTTCCTTTCTTACCCATAGCACTTTTCACGGACTGCATATTTTGCATAGCATAAAAGAAAAGTATGGAAGACTATTGGAAAGCAAGGCAGAACAAAGGAAGAAATCAGACAAAATTGAAAGGTATGGTCAGTTCTTTGCTACTTAGCCAGAAGTAGGTAAATAACATTTTAGGCTGTGTTCTTGAGAAGAAGAGCAGTGCGTTCTTGATAGGGATTATTATCCTGTTGCAGTAGACTATGGAGTATTCTACATAAGAAAGCAGAATGCTGTATTGCTAGGTTGTTTTCTGGAGTCCTCTGGACTCCATACAAGATGGAGAATTGAGTAATGTTGCAAGCTGCCATTGAAACACTAGTTCAAAGCAAACTGTAGATCAGTAGCCTCAGCACCTTTCCCACCTGCAGTCTACAAAACTAAAGGAGTAATACTGACTGGTCTTAACATTAAGACTAGTGGGATAACAAACAGAAATGATAAGATGCAACCAGTGTGGTAGAATGATAGTGATGGACCAGGAGTGGGAAGAGGGATTCAAATTTATTAGATGTATATCCTGCTTTTACAATGAACTCAAAGCTGCTTAGGTAATTCTGTTCTTCCTGTTCAGTCTTATCCCCACAACCCTGTGAGGTAGGTTGGATTGAGAGTCTGACTGGCTCAAAGTCATCCAGTTGGCTGTATGGATGAATGGGGACTAGAGTCCCAGTCCTGTGCTCTTAACCACTGTACCACACTGGTTCTAATGCTAGGAGTTAGAGTCCCGACAGATCAAGAGGGTGCCCGTTTGGTGGAAGGTGATTGTATGTGAATAAAATAAATTAATTTTGATTTAGAGTTATCTCAGAGGGATGGTTTAACTTGGCATCCTGCACTGAGCAGGGGGTTGGACCTGATGCCCTTCTAACCTTTTCCAGTTTTACTATTCTATGAACCTCTGAATAGCAAGAGGATCAGGAAGAAGACTAGGTTTGAAACAGCAGTGCTAACTATTGGTTCTCGGGGATATATTTGCAAGAGCTAGCATTCAGAAGTGATAATATGTACTTGTTTTATCATGTCATACTGCTGCATGTGTAGACTTGGTTTCAGTCTTCAGAGTGAGTTTGAAGATCTGTGTTTTAGTGGCTATATGTGAATCGGAGTTCTATGACTGAGGTTCCACCACTATGCGGGCACTCTTTTGCAACATGATAGCCTTATAGATGGGCAAATGAGCAGGGCCTTACAGTGGAGAACTGTATTTTATATTGGCATTTATGAATGCACTTGTAAGATTTTCTTTTATATATTTATGTGAACAGATTTTTCTTTTGTGAAATGCTTTTCACTCCTGAGATAAACCAGCATCATGCTTAGTTTAAAATTTCACTGAGGAATCATGTGGGAGCTTCTTTTTCTTCCAATAGCTCAAGGACAAGCTAATAAAGATGTTGAGAAGATGATGTGTATGTATGTGGTGCTGGTAGGGTTATAAAGAGGAGAGTTAAGGTTTTTTATCCTTTAATGTTTGCTTATACCTTGCTGTGTTAACCAAATGAGAACAAGATAGAAGATTTAGCAGAAGGTGGGGGGCAGGATTGACATGCTTCACAACTTCCTTCAGCTGCTATAAACACTATCTACAAAAGACAGTGATCTGCAATGGTGATTCACTTAGTAAGCTGACTACCAGGGTTTCATCAGTTCAAACAGAGTAAATCTCCTTTTACACCAGGGGTCAGCAACCTTTAACACTCAAAGAGCCATTTGGACCCATTTCCCACACAAAACACTGGGAGACGCAAAACCCTTTTGACATCTAAAATGAAGGTAACACTGCATGTATCGTTTTTTACCTTAATGCTATGTATATCTTCATTATGATTTAGCTGCAGCTCTTGTTCAGTCACTAAAAACTGTTATTTTTAATCTTGCATTATAAACTAGTAGGACTCCTTTCATATATTTTGAATAGGAGAACAGCTTCCTGCAGAGTCAAAGTCAGTGCTAAAGGGCTGCATGCATTAAACAGCAAACCCCATAAGTGCGGCAGCAGTAAAAGCAAATGAATCTACCCATGTATCATTAAACGTTTGGTTTTCTTCAGAAACTTTTCTTGATTTATCCATGGTTGGCCTATGGGGGGCGGGGCGGGGGGAGCTCAGTAAATCTGCCTGGGTCTGCAGATCAGCCCCAGAGATACAGGTGTGTTTAGTGACTGATTAGCAGATGCAACAGTCAAGTGCTGTGAATTGTGACAGGTCCCAAGCACAGCTTTTAACATTCAGATGAAGGAGATTACATTGGAACAAAGAGAATCCTTTCAACAGGGTTTGAGTAACATGAGAGCCTGCAGGAAGCTTGTTCCACTCTTTCCCTGCACAATAGAAGAGGAATGTAGCTGATTTACTTAACTAGCTAGCTCGAGCATTCCTGTAGCGGTAAAGCAGATCAGTGGCTGTGCCTGCGCGTGTTTTGAGCAATGGAGCCTCAGCAGAGGGATTCAAGAGCCATGTGCGGCTCTGGAGCTGCGGGTTGCCGACCCCTGTTTTACACACTCGGGGAAAAATTACTTAAAAATTTTGAGTAGCTTTCTTCAGTTACCTGGAGTGTTTTTTTGTGCATTTTTATGTTATGCAAGGTGTGGGGTGTTTGGTGCATACAATAATTTTGCTATAATGAAACTACCAAAGTTTTAGTGAGAGAGGCTGGGTGTAGAAGGAAATGGAAGAGGATTCTCCAGCAGTGGTAACTGAAAATTGTATAGCCCCATCTGGCTTTGTCATAGCATGGTTTTAGGACTGGCTTATATAATGTGAACACAATTAACAACAACTATATTCAGGCCTGCACTAGCTACTTGGACTCTTGAGCTTTTGGCACACAGAGGTACCCAAAAGAGCATCATCTTGCTGTGCTCATATGCACTACTGGCTAGGAACCTGTGCTGTGTTTTCTTGAGAAAATAATACTGTCTACTGCTCTGTTTACAATAAATTAATTGGTCGTTACTGTGCTACAGATCCTTGTACATTTTTATTCAGCCATTTATGAATCTAATTTAGCACATATATAGGACAAATGCACAAAAAGAGCTAAAAGAAGAAAGGAAGCTCCATGCAGATGTAAGCTCTGCTATCTCAGTGGAGGAATGATGTAATGCTTGGCCTGGGGCCATTGTTTCAAAGTGCTTTTTCTGACACTATGTTTCAGTCTGCAAATCTAGAGGAAATATGTTAAAGCAGATTTCAGTTAATTAAAAATAAGATATAAATTAAAAATGCTCTAACTATCTTTAATGTTCAGGGTGTGCTCTAACATTTAATTCAGTACAAGCAATTTGATAATGATAATCACTGGAGGAATGGAGCCTGGGCTTCTGTGGTAACTTAGGCTCCACTATTATAGATCTTTATCTAGGAGTAAGTACCATTGAATTTGGTGGGTCTTGCATCTACCTTTGTGAAATGGTGGGGAGAAACTAAAAAAAGCGTCACCAGGTACAGGGCTTGGATGAGTCGTTATTCAGGTTAGGTTGGTGGCAGCTGACTGGGCAAGGCAGATGCATTGGCTTATGTAGTAGCCCTCAACATCTTCAAGTCTGTCCTGTCCTGAGAAGGCCAGACAAACATAGCTATCAACCTAGAGCTGATGGAAGAGGTAGCTTTTGCTCTGAGTTTCTACAGATTTTTTTCCTTATGCTTCCTCTATTCTCTTTACAGTGGTTGATTGCCCAGTGTGCAAACACCAGTGTTACTTAAAGGACATAGTGGAGAACTACTTCCTGAGGGATGGTGGTACAGAGGCACTTGGAGATGCTAGAGATGCCAACCAGGTAATATCCCTCTTCAGAAGCCGCCTCTTCCAGATTTTTTGCTTGATTTTTGTAAGTGTTTTGGCTCTCTCGGACGAGGGATGAAAACCTGTTCTTGGCTAACCTTTCACCTTTTAACCTCAGTGTTGTACCAGCTGTGAAGATAATGCCCCAGCCACCAGCTTCTGTGTTGAATGCCAAGAGCCCTTGTGTGAGACTTGTGTGGAGGCTCATCAGAGAGTGAAGTACACTAAGGACCACACTGTCCGGTCCACAGGTAGGTGGCCACATAGGGCTAAGGGCAGGTTTTCCTGGTCATTGAGCTGTCTGTTGGAAACCATAAGCCTTATTGAAGTGTGCAATAGTTGTGTGCAGGGAGTGCTATTATTCTGGTTTGGGGGACAATATGATGTGTGAGAAATTGGAATTATTCTGTGTAGTTCAAAAGGTTGTTGAACTGCCAGCATATCTGAGCAAACAGTTGTGGACCTTCTCCTTGAAACCTACCACTCTTGCATGCACTTAAAAGTACTAATATTTTCATACAGGCAGGGGATTTCTGCTCTTCTACTTGCACTGGTTTTGTGAGTGGAACCACCTTGCAAAAGTCACACTTGCTTTTGTTTCATTCTAGGCTCCTCTAAGTCACAGGAGAGAGAGAAGACGGTTTATTGCTCTGTCCACAAGCATGAGCCACTGGTGCTGTTCTGTGACACGTGTGATACCTTGACCTGCCGGGACTGTCAGCTTAATGCGCACAAGGATCATCAGTAAGCATTCCAGCTGGGTGTATGAAAATCCGTTTGCTTCTCTAAAGAAAGAGTGAGCAATTCATAGACCAAAACATGTGGAGTCCACAACTCCCATGATCCCTCACCAGAGATGATGCTGGGAGTTGTAAATGAAGCCACATGCTGTTTGCATAGGCTAACTGTGGAGTTCATTATCCTACACAGTCGGTTATCTAGCTTTTAGACTACATTTCCATGCCCAAATGGATAAGTTCCATTGAGTGTACTGAACTGAGAACTAAAATGGGTACAGCATTGGGCTACTGCTACCATAAACAGATTTCCTAAGCTTGTTTCCTCCCTGCCTCCATTTCCTGCTAAGTTGGGCAAAGGAGATGGTAAAGGAAAAGGTTTTATGTAATGTAAGAGGTACAACATGAGATCTCTGTTGATCTAGGAAATATCTTTATTTACTGTGGTCAGACCCAGCTACATTTTCCCTTTCCTACCCTATATTTATCTACCCCTCTTGAAATCAGACTTTGCTGATACTATGCATTGTTTCAAAACAAATATTAGCATTCTTTTAAGCTTACTGTTTAGACTAGTGGCACAGACATGTGTAGCACAGACTAGACGTGTAGCACAGCCCTTAAACTGCTAGCACCAGATGTCTGAAATTATCTTTTCTGCACAGGTACCAATTCTTGGAAGATGCAGTTAAGAATCAACGCAAGATGCTGGCCTCATTGGTCAAGCGCCTGGGAGATAAAAATGCCAATCTTCAGAAGTCAACCAAGGAAGTGCGTACCTCGTAAGTGCCTGTTGCTCAGAAGGCCTGATCCTTGGGGACATGTTCATTCTTGCACATATGGCTTTGATACATAGGCTCTTCAAAGGGTTGTACAAACTAAAAAGGTAACAGAATTGTACAGAATGTCCTGGCTGTCTGGGATTCGTGAAGCTCTGAGTGATGGAAGCTGTTCAGCATTAGCTCCTCCTGAAGGATGGCAGCTATGTAATGCTCAGGCCCACAGTCCTTTCTCATACTGATAAACTGGAAGTGAGAGGATAGACTAGTCAGTGACTTGGTGGCTGGCTTTCTCTGCTTCTGCAGATTAACCCATGGATGGCTGTGTGATGTGTTTCAATGGATATAATATTCCACTAGTTCATGAAGTTTGCTGGGGGTTGGGTGGCTAGTAGTCATTGCAGCCGTGTCCATCTTGCAGTGTGCTTGTGAGGGTAAAACGGAGGAAACCCACATTATGATCAGAGCTCTTTGAAGAAAGAGAAAAATTGAGTGTTGTATACTCTCAACTAAAGTCTAATCTCTTTGTTTCCTGACCTACTAACTGACCCAATGATTTCAGGAGGCACAGACTCCTCTTTTATAACCACTGCCCTCACTTCATTAAGGAGGCTTGCTTCCCATATTGGTGGGATGGGCAATGTTGGTGCATTGCTGTTGTCTCTGGCAGTAGTTTACGTGTGAACTGCTTTTTGCAGCTTGACTAACAAAAGCAAATGCTACTCCCTCTGTAGGATCCGGCAGGTGGCAGATGTGCAGAAGCGTGTGCAGGTGGATGTGAAGATGTCAATCCTACAAATCATGAAGGAGCTCAATAAGAGAGCCAGAGTACTGGTCAATGACGCACAGGTAAAGACTGGAATGGGAGCTTAGGCTATGACTATACATGGAAGATAATAGGTAGGAGTTGAGATGAAGGGAAGGGGTTATTTGAGTGTCTCTAGCAGGAAACACTCTGCAACCTGATCAAGGATAAACTCTTTCATAGGTTCGTAAGTTAAATCCAGCACCTTGAATCTGGCTTGAAAACGCAGATAGCCAGTGCAAGTAGGCCAGAATTGGTAGTGTACGTTCAGACCTCGTCATTGCTATTGCTCTGGCTGCAGCATTTTGCATAAGCTTCTGAACCATTTGAAGGCAGCTCCATGTAAATGTTACACGGAGCCAATAATATAGGAGGTTAAGTGTATTTGGGTTTTCTCCTTTGCAGAAAGTTACTGAAGGACAGCAAGAGAAGCTGGAAAGGCAGCACTGGGCGATGACAAAGCTTCAGCGCCACCAGGAGCATATCCTACGTTTTGCCAACTGGGCCCTGGAGAGTGACAATAATACTGCATTGCTGCTTTCAAAGAAACTGGTAAGCACTGTTGTCTTGAAAGAGTCTGTCAAGTTACTTGGTGGTCTTTAGCTTTCAGTATTTGCTAAAATGTGATCTATATTCAGAACCAGTGTTAAATCAGCTGGTTCTAATGTTTGTGAGACAGTGTCACATCTTTCCTCTTTTGGTCACTGAAAGGTAGCAGACTATATTCACTTGAGATAAAGCATTGGAAACTTGGCATGGTTCTGTGTTCTTTTACTTAAAATTCTTGCAGCTTTGGAAAACCAGTCAGCATTCCTCATTCTATTCCAAGTGTCCAAAATTCATGCAGAAGAGAACTGACTGGGCAGCTAAATGTGTCGTACTGATGAAAATGGAGCTCTGAACTGATTCATGGTGTATTGAGCTCTCTACTGCCCCTCCCTTTTCTGTCCCAGATATACTTCCAGCTGCACAGGGCTTTGAAAATGATTGTAGATCCTGTGGAGCCCCATGGAGACATGAAATTCCAGTGGGACTTAAATACCTGGATCAAGAGTGCAGAAACATTTGGTAAGAGAGAGAGTGAAGTGGAATGGTTTCCATTCAAAGCGCACAAGCTTTTGGGAAAAGAATTGGAGGCCTTGATTTGGGCTCACAGTTGTGGATGTGCTGTTGGTACTTGGTGAGGGATCACACATATAGTGATACAGTACCAGGGTGGACATTAGTGAGTGTTTAGCCAATCTGATTTGGCATTCAACCCCTTAATGCTTTTTTTTTGAAGGTACATGGTTCCATAAACTTGTTGGTGAATCAGGTGTGGGTGTAGTTGGTGCTTGGATAGGAAGCCACCTGGAACCTTCATTGGAAGAAAAATGGGGAAGTAAAAGTTAGATAACAGTATTTGAAGGGTGGGAGTAGGGAGGGCCTGCAAGCAACACACGTTAGTTTTCCTGTCTCCAGAATTGAGTTCCGAGACATGCAATTTGTGTAACATTCAGTCAGTCAATTTTATGTGCATATTTCGTGAAATACTCTTGAATGAGGACTTCTGAGTTTACAGCTTGGAACTTTGCAGTTCATCTAATCCTCCCCATGAATTAACTCCATGGTGTCCACTGATGGTCCCATATTAATATTGACTTGAAAAGGAAGTGTGTGGGTATTGAGAATGGACCTCAGTCACCTGAAACTGATTCTCTTGCAAATACTTTTGTATGTCAAGAGACAAGCTCCTCAAAATTAGATGTGACAGCTGTCCAAACCCTGTACTAAAATTCTGCCCTTATCCCAGCATGGCAATTCTTGCATTTTTGAGACCAGTAAACTCCAGCTTTGAGAGTAGAAACCTGCAATTTTCCCCCCTCCTTCCTTTTAGGTCAGATAGTTTCGGAACGGAGTGGTTTGCCAGTGACCCCCAATGCCCAGACCCCTCAACAACGGGCCAATGCTGCATCTGGAGGAGTGGCAGTCAGGCAGGGTTCTGTTCCTCCTTCTCAGGTACTGGCTGTTTGTACAAATGTCTTTCCCTTGACTGCCTGGCTCTGTTGAACCAGCAGCCTCAGCTGGTCAGTTCATCTGTGTTCTTGGGAGTGCCTGGCATAGTGGTGGAGATGCTAACAGGGCAGTTACAGGCTTCCTGGTCAACTTTTCCATGTAGGGTGTCCAACAGATGTCTCTGCAGACAAGCATAATGAATAAGGGAGCTCTGCTTCAGCCTGTGCTGCCTTCCAACAGCCAGCGGCAGGCCATCCCTGACTGCTATATCAATGATGCCAGTGCTTCTTCTGCTGGACAGGTGAGCAGAACTCAGGAAGGGTCTAGATGCATGAGGTGCCTTGTAGGGCATTGGTTACAGCTGACAGAAGCCAGTGCTCAATGGGAGATATATTAAGCTAGAAACCTGCAGTCAGGGCCACTGCTTTGTACAGGACCGATAACAACTAAATATATTTTGGCAGACAGTGGTGAGGAAGACCCTTGTATAGGTCTCTTACTTACCTTTGGCTCTGTTTTCTTACAGCCGATGGACATTGGCGATGGCTTTGGTGTAGGTAAGGAACATGAAAAGAAAGCATGGGTTTCCACTGGAAGAGTGAGGCCAGGTAAACTGTGTTGTTAGGTGGCACTTTTGCTTGTTCATGATTAGAGAGGTGGAAAAAGAATTTTTGTTGGAGGCTGGTGAGGGTAGCAGTCATGTTCTTGACACTTATTTCCTTTTGCTATAACAGAAGGATCATACTCTGGTGAAGTATCTGGAATCAAGAGGTAAGGTTTAGTCCGTTTGAATACTGTGTTGTCTTTTAAGGGGCTTGGTATTCTATGGTAAATCTGTGTAGCTTGCTGCTGTGGTTTGTGAACTCTCATGTTTCTTACACTGCACCTGTGCCCTCTAGTGTATGGTATGAATGTGTGTGCTCTAGAGGAGAGTGTGCTTTGGACATAGTCAGCATTAGAGCTCAGGGCAGGTTTTGAGGACTCGGTCTTTTAGGCTGGATTTGAGACTAAGAATGGTATTTCCTCAATTGTAGGGTTATTGTGTACCTTGGAGGCACTTCTCTTGCTCCAAAGTCTGGTTGTACCCAGCTCAGTATGGAGAATGCCAGTGACCAAAAATGCAAGCCATCTACATCGATGAAAATACATGACTGGACGAAGTCCTGGATGACTGCAGACATGTTTATTCTTCCTAATCCCTTTAAATTAAAACCTTGCCACTGCAAAATTCTAGTTAGAATTTCTAATTGCTTTGAATTCCTTATACAGAAAAATGGGTTGACTTATCTAAAATATGGAAATATTACCTTTAGCAGTAGGTGGAATAAATGGTCATTGAGATTAACAGACTGTGTTATGGAACTAAACTGAGAAAATTTTCCTGGCCTAAAGCACAAGTCCTCTTGCAGGAAAGAAAGCCCTTGAGATAAGGTCTAAATAACTTCATTTTAGTGTTAAAATGGAACCAGTAGATATCTTGTTTTTAAGAGGTAACAGGTATTAAAAATTGAAGTGTTGGTGGACTGGGATTAGAAATGAAAGTATCATTGCACTAATTTGCATTGCATTCAAAAGCAAAATTCTGCAGGAAAGCTAGCAGTCATATGGCCTGGGTGCTCTTTGTCTAGTCATGAGAAAGCATACTTTCAAATAAAATTGCTGGACTGAGCGGCTGATCTATGCATGTACTCAACCTCAGTTACATTAGCAGTTAAATGGAGTGGGAGAATATTAATTAATTAAAACATTTTTATGCTGCCCCATTTGCCGAAGTCTCGGGCCGGCTTACAACAGAATAGAATTTAGTTGTGTTACTGGGCAGTATTTGTAGGAGAATCTCTGTCACCAGGCACTGCAAACTTCAAGATCCATCTGTGATTTCTGAGCTTTAAAAGCAGACATGGCTTTCTACTTTGAACTTGTATCTGTAAGGACTAGGAACTTAATAACTTGAAATTTATTTTCTGCACTCCAGGGGAGGCCCACAATTTCCAGTGCCTGATGTAGTAGCAATTCTGGCTTTTTACTTAATGCTGTCTCTCTGTATATATACCTCAGGCCCCGTGGCCAAGATGGAGAAACTGGTCTTGTGCGAAAAGTGCCCCGTGTCAGTCTGGAGCGGCTAGATGTGGACCTGACATCGGATAACCAGCCACCTGTCTTCAAAGTATTTCCAGGCAGCTCCCGTGAAGATTACAATCTCATTGTGATTGAGCAAGGTGGGCAGCAGGCTGCTGCCACTCAACAACCTGGACTACCAACTGCAGGTGCTGCAGTAAAGGTCAGGATTGCTTTTTTGGGATTTGCCTAGATTTGGGTGGAGATGCGGGCTCCTAGCTGCTTTCAGAAGTTCTGGTCACTTATTTAGAATTGAGGTCCAGGGAATTGCTTATTCTGTTCTGTACAAGGAGAAGCGGATCGTGCACAATATCAAGTCAGTGGTCTGTCTAATCAGGCAGTGCCTAACCTAGGGATTGAAGTCTTCCTTGGGAAATTTAAGTCACTACTCTTCCTGCTGGAGCAATTTTTCCCCACCTTCCTCACTGCTCTCCAGCTGTAGCTGGTAATATGCCAAGGAATACTGAGCAGGGGTAGACAACTTGCCTTGCTGATATTTTGGCCTACATTTCCTGTCAGTCCTAGCTATTGAAGCCAATAATGAAGAAGTACTATTGTCTTTTTATTCCACAGCTGTTTTCTGTGCTTTTACTGTGTTATTTGTATTGTTTTCTCTTACTTACTAGATTGGCAAATCTCCTTGTTAGGGTACCAGCCTAAATTTGTGTAATTTTTCCAGCTATGTGTGTTCCAGCTTGACATACTGTTATATTAAGGCAGCCTACTGGTGCCACACTTCTGCAGAGATTTATTTGTGGGCCTTCACAATATATAAACTATACCATATATGTTTTATGCTAACACTGTGCTAGCAGTATATAAAAGTATACATGTGTATGAATAAGCCAGTTCTGCCTCTTGCACCTCTGCAATCCCAAGGATGAAGCTTAGCTTACCTGTTGCTTCTGCTACTTTACTTCTTTCTCCTCCCATTTTCCAGTTTTGCATTCACTCTGATGCTTCCCTGTTCATCCTTCCTTCAGGAGGAGCAGATGGAGGCAGCTATTGAACATCCAGCATCTGTTGCAGATTCTAAAGACACCAAGCCGGTTCTCCTGCCCCAGGATGCCCTTCTTCCAGAAGGTTCCGCAGCTCCCAGGCTCATTTCTCCAAGTGGCAGTACCAGCTCTGCTATGGAAATGCAGTCTGTTCACAGCCATGATGGCACTGCCAATGGGGAAGAAGCTGCTTGCTGCAGGATCTGCCTGAAAGCTGGTGCTGTGGTCATGTGTGATGACTGTAAAAAGTGCTACCACCTCGACTGTCACCTGCCTGCACTCCAGGAAATCCCTGGGTATGTATTCCCCACTTTCTTGCTTTTGTCTCCTGCATTTTACATTACTCGCACCAGTTCTGGACAGGAATATACAGTTGCAGGTTGGGGCCAGGAGTGGTGGTGGCCAAAGTAACAAGACTTACTTAAGATCCAGAGAAGTCCTTGTATGGCTGCAAGCAGAAACTATTCCCTTTTTTATATCCCTTAGCCAAGGTTCCACAAATCTTTTTTCTTGCTTGGTGGCACAAACATTTTTATGTTCAGTACAGTTTACAATCACACTTTCCCATCACCTAAATCAGGTGAATGGGCTTCCCAAACTTTTGTTTGGAACCCACACAGTTCATTGCAAGCACATCATGAGAAGAAATAATTCTCCCCTGATGTCTTTAACAGTATTGATAGGCTGGGCACTGGGGGACTGGGGTCACTGATGACTCTGAATTAAAACGTGCCTTACAAGTCAAGTACCCTGCCCCTTAGCTACACCCTGGAGAGTGGTAGCATGTGGCCTGTATTCTTAATGTGAATATGTTTATTTATTTATTTTATTTATTAAAACATTTCAATGCCGCCCCATTCGCCGAAGCCTCGGGGCGGCTTGATTTCTTTCAGAATAAACATTGTTTGACAGCATTGAAACACGCCCCATTTAGAGAAATACCACACACTTGAATGCTTACAAATTGAGTTCATGTAATGGAAAATATCAGTTGACATTCCTGTTACATTACTTGTTGCGTTCAGGACGTACATTTAATGAAGACCTGAATACATCACTGAAGGTCTTTCTGATCTTTGTAGATAGTAACCCTCTCAACAGACCGTTCTGATTACTTGACTCAGCAGGTCTACAGCTAACCAGCTAAAGGAAATAAAACCATAACAAATATCACAGTTCCATTGCCACTTGTTCATAGGTTAGTCTGTGTTGGGTAGGTTTTCTCCTTGGCTTTCAGAGAAGGTTGTGTTGGAGGAGTGTTACACGACAGGACAGAGCATGCACTTCTACATATCCATCTCAATTTGCTCTGTAGCCAGGAATGGAAATGTCTACTGTGTGAGGACCCAGCGACAGCCATTGAAGCAGATGGAACAGACTTGACTCCAATCTTCATTGATGGGGAGCCAAAGACACTCTCAGATGCTGATCAGAAGGTTAGTCTGCCCTGTCTAATAGGAAATCTGGTTGGGGATGATCGAGGTTGGTGGGTAGATGCTGTAAACTGAGTTGGGAAGGCTGCTTGGGATCTAGATCTTGGGTAGTGTGTGATGGGTCAGATCTGGGGGTTTCCATTAGGCAGATGGAGCTGACTGCCTCAAACAGCAGAGTTTGGGTGTCTTGAAGGGATAGCAGATGGTTTAATTGTATTCCTATTGCCAGAGACAAGAAGATGTGCTTGTTTGATCTCCTATCTCATGTGCTAGAATATTTGGGATTTGCAGAAATTTTTGGATTTGTGAGCTTTAGTTGGCAGGTTGGGAATTTAAATGTACACCTTCTAGCTATACACTGCTTC